CGAGGCCACCGGTCTCCGTGCGACGCGCAGTCCCAAAAAAGCGACACGAGGGTGGCGGTTTCGGGGGTTCGGTGAACAGGCACCGAAGGTTGGAAGGATCGGTAGATGGATATAGATGGTAGATGTGAGGACTGCGCAAGTCTCTTCTTTTCCAGGAAGGTTGGCTGTGGATGCGTGGTTTAGTGAAGCCCCAATAAAAACCTTCAGCAAAACTAAAAACCATGCAATCCCGTGCAGAGCCCCAACAACATCTCGAAACCCTTCAAAACCAACTGAAGTTGGGCACCTCGTTGCTAGTGGCTGCTAGCTGTTGTAGGTTCATCCATCGGCCTGCCAATCTCATTAATCCATTGCACACTGAAACTCCAAAAAAGATCCTCCCTAAAGGGGAGTTTAAAGATAAACAACAGGAGCTTTTTCAAGACATCACTGCACTTTAACAGGATAGCTGCTTGCACCCTGTTACACCCTGTTGCACCCTGTTGCACTCGCCCCGGGTGGCGAGGTGCCTCCGAAGGGGGCCCGCACCGCGTCAGCGCGGGTCTTCCATGGCTCACCGGTGATCGATGCGGACTCCAACGTGTAGCTGGATGGGATCGTTGCGTAAGCGCTTTTGGGGGGTTTGGGTTCCCCCCGCCCAACAGGAATAGGTGGACAATTCAGTTAGCTACCAAGTCAGGCTGGCAAAGAATGGGAAAAAGGATGGGAAAGGAGTGTTGACGACTGTCTGATGTTTGTGTCCACACCAAAATTGGAGACCGATGGATTGGTGGTCAATCTTCCCCGTGACTTGATTATATCTGATTTTTCATTATGGATTTCGGTCATGGTGGGGGTGTGTTATGTTGTGCTCAGCTTTGATTGAACGACCAATGGGAGTTGCTCCCAACTGTTCTACCCGTCTCCAGCCACCTTGATTTGTGCGTGCGAACGAACAAAGCCCAGGCCAAACACCAAGACCCGAATCCATCGAGTCTTCTCGTGCTGAGTCGACTCGCATCGGCCAGAACCGGTGCCGGAACCGGTCTCGAAACACCACTTTTCGGTCTCCTCCGATCGATCGTGCGCAGAGTTCGAGGTACATCCAAAGTACCTCCGGGTGGATCTTCTCTTTGAACCGTGAAGGAAAGCTGCGTTGGTCCTTCGATCTGAACTCGGAGGATCCGCAGAACCCAGGCTCGCCTGGGCGTTTGAGCGATCGCGACGGATCGCGGGACCTCGGGTTCTGGATGGAGGAGTCATAGGACTGAGCTGGGACAGATGCTGAGTTCCTGGGTGATTCGCATATTTTGAGCTATTGTCAGCACAGGTGCTGAGGCTGGAATGTATAGATCTGAGGTTTAGCTCAATGTCCCTTTCATGAGGGGCACCGGTCATACTTGTACGGTCATACGAGTCACACAGCACAAGAATCGAGCTGAGAGCTAACAAGGTTTGCCTTTTCTTGGCTGACCTGTTGCTGCGCCCCCTATCTTGCTTGGTATGTTGGTGATTGAGCTGGCGGGTCATTTGCTGGCAAAATTTCAAGGATGAGCACATGAGAGGGGATGCTAATTTCCACTCTTTACAATGACAGCAAAGGAACAGTATGGAGTAACGAAAAGGGGTTTGAGTGCCAGTCAGCCACCACGAACTTTGACCGGTTCCAACCGGAAAGAATCATCACCCCAGATCGTTCGTCTGCAGACTGAGGAAATATGGCCTTGCTAGATGGCACGGCCTTTGTGTGTATCTTGGATTATTTTGGCAGAATCTATGCCTACGCACCATGTCAGTACGTCCTTCGAATGTTTGAACCATACCAGCCACCGTCTACGAAGACCCCGGTGACACCGGCCGACACCGAAAACGTGCCCGAGGTACGGAAGATGGAGTTGCATGGGCCATTGATCTAGTGGCAGGCCTCGAGAGGCGGACGCTTTTTGGTACGTCACCGACAACGGCGAATTTGGAGAGTTCGGGTGGTGGATTTTGTGTTAAGAGCAACGTACTCCCTTTAAACAAACATCGTCTTTCAAAAGGCAGGTAATAAATCCACTTCCATAGGTGTTTGAGGGACGCCCAGGGTAGCAATTCAAGAGCAAATCCACGGTCTGCAAACCCTTTCCACTCATGGTGATTATATCAATCTTCGTTTTGAGATATTGATTTCTAGCCATGATGAGTTTGCAAACTAGATCTTAAAGTTTCCAGGTCACATACTGTACCCTTGTAAGGTGGAATGGTGGGTTCTGTACCAGACGGCTTGAAACACGATACAGGTGGATCCCATGTCTCATATAGCTGTGGGTCGGTTCCCTGGCTTGACCTACCGAGTCGGTGGGGGTCGTTCGCTACATCCCATGGGTCGGGTCGGGAGTACGCTCCAGGGGGGATCACGAACCTGCAGAACTCCCCGTTTCCGGGCTCATGGCGCTTGGAAACAAGTGGACTCTTTGAAGGGGAAATCAGAGCCTTGGAAAGACAAACAACAAAAGAGTAATACTTACATGTTCTTTAGGCCTGCTTTTAAAGTCTTGATAGCATACAGTGGAGAGACTTTGGGAGCCCACACTCCCACTCTTTTGGGAGCAACGACGTTGTCACGGCTGATCCATTCGTCCATTCGTCCTGACCACCGCGGGACCGACGCAGGTGGAGGCGCAAGATCGCTACCCACTGCTCGACGGATCCGTGCCTCGAGGGATCCGTGGGTGGATCCCTTTCCGTTTGGGTTTTGGACACATCAAATGACATGGTTGTATTGGAATGGGAATGGAGTGGCCGAGACAGATGAACGAACATGGAAGGACACGTTGACTGAGACACATCTCCGTTCTTGGTGGAAAGGAGTTGAATGGAGGGGGGGAATGTTTCGGAGCTGTTTTCGTGCTCCGAAACCTGACCGTCGTTGGGAATTCGCGCATTGTCTCTGAGGTTCTCGATCACAGCTGGTGGCGGCGGAGACCTAGATGAATGTGAGAGCTTGTGAGGTGCAGGGCTTGAGTGAATTCAGATGATATCAGCCAAGGACTGATTCTGATCCCATGCAATCCTGCCAATGGAGATGAACTGGACAATGTCGAGCCTTCTATGAACTTTAGACTTTGGCGCTGATCAGCAACCAAGAAGCCCAAGTTGTTGCTGCTGAGTGGCCTTGTTTCCGAGGAGGGTAGCTCTGCAATTTGTGCAGTCTCGGAAAAGGATGGCAGCCCCATCTGGACTTACGCCTTTAGCAAGTATGGCAGCAAGGGGTACAACTTGGCGTTGGCCTCAGATGGCCTTCGTAAGTGTGACCAGAAGGACAAGGAGTGTCAGCTGAGCTGTATGACATCGGATACTCGTACATCGAGTTTTTCGTCCCTGGCTCACGTGTGAATGTGTGTTCCATGGCCGGCACGGCCGGCCATGATCCACATCGCCTCTCAGGCCCCGAGCATCGTCGACGGCAAGGTTTACTTCAGCGACCTCGCAGGCGAATGCCGATGGTGGGACGTGGCGCCCCGAGGGTGGGACATGTTGACCGAAAAAGACCAAGCAGCCCAGCAGAACATCCTTGAAACAACTCTGGTGAACGCACGGGGAAGAAGGCAACGCAGCCTTTTTTGGTCAGTTTTGCATTGACACTTGTTGTTCTTGGGTAGAACGGGTATCCATTTGGACTGTCCTGTTGACCTTGACTTCCAGTAATAGCTTTAGATCATTTTAGATCTATATAATATGATCTAATTACCTCTTTGTTTGGGAGATTACACTGTAGAGTTACCATACCTTTGTCAGCCCCCACAATGCCCGATTAAGCCAGCCGCACTTTACAGCTCCAGTGGGTCAAAACGGGTGCTAGTGCTCAAGTCTGGTGTTCTACAGTACAGCTATTTTTGTTCGAAAGGTTTCAACTCACCATCATTAGCGGACACAGCGCCCCCGCAGATGCTTGCGTTTATTTCGGTGCCTGGTCCATGCGTTTGTTCACTGAGCGAGTTTCACCTTTCTTGGCGGCTGGTCGTCTCGGCCAGGCGCGTCTTATGCGATCTCTTTGCAGGACTGGAAGTCGAACTGCACGCTCCAGTTTCGCACCCGGGGGGGGACTGGAGGATATCAGATAAACGGACGGAGCTTGCATTGCATGGCGGGAGGGACTAGGGGCTAAGGGAGGCCAGTAGTGACATTGTTTGTTTGTTTGTTTGTTTGTTTGTCTGTCAAGAGCAGTGATCAGAGCTGAACGCAATCTAGGTGGGAGAGGAACCAGAAGACCCTTGGGCGAAAACCGTGGACTCACTCCAGATGCAGTCTGCAGATTCTGAACCGAAGCCGAGAGTGTTTTGCAGTTCTGCCAGGATGGGAAGGAGATTTGGAGGCATCCTGGCCCCAAGCATGCCAGCTTTTCCACTGGATCGGCCGCTGTACGGGAAGCCCAGATGGATGTTATGATGGAATGACCTGGAGGATGCACACATGACTGATGGCATCAAAAAGATGGTTTTCGAGGGTGTTGAAGCTTCAAAACCTAGATTTGTTTGCACCCATTCCCCTGCGCAGTGCTTCGAGTAGACTATCCCGCGAGGAGCTGGCCTCTTTTTTCATTGTGTAGGGTACCAGCTCCACCAAGAGACATTTTGAGACTGAGGTTGGCCATGATGGGCACCTTTACAACGTCTTCAATATGGGCAATGGCGGAGTGTCCCTTGGACACTTGGCTCCAAACACGACTGCATGCCATTGGGGGTCCCTGACTCCACCCCTTAGCCGATTGGAGCCACGATCCACTGATCCACTGGTCTGCCGATCTGCTGATGCGATGACCCGGTGGCTGGTGATCCGGGTTGGGTGTTTCCAGTTCCCGGAATGGTGCTTCTGGTTCCCGTGGTGCTTCTTTTGACCCGGTGGCCGGTGTAGTCCGCCATTCTGATGATCCAATGGTCCGCTCGTTCCATGATCTGCTGATTGGATCATTTGCTGGTCCTGATTTGCTGCCTTTGCTTCAACAGATTTCTGAGTCCCTGGATGATTCTTAGACAGGACCGGTTTTCAGAGTTTGCCTTGCCGGGGCTTTCAAACTCTTTTGATACCTTTTGGACGCAATAGAGCTGGGAACCCCAAAGAGCTGCCACGTCATAGAAAAGACACTCCAGCAAGAGCCGACGAAGGGGTCTGGGTGCTTGGCCCCAAGTGAACTGATCAGTGCGAACATATTTGCTGCCTCAATGATGGTAAAATGTACAATGCTGAACGATGTCATGATGTTTTTGGCCCTCACTGATCTTCCAAACGTTGGTATCACGAGCTGGTGGGTTGGAAAGTGTGAGATGTCGCAATCAGATCCAGAGGCCACTGACCCGGTCTGCCGTGGCGTGGGGTTGTGCCATGTTGTGCCAGAAAACCGGTGCAGGAGAGGTGCGGTGCCATGACCTCCGCTATGGCGGGGTTTTGTGGTCGAGATCCTTTGACGAAGGTGCGATCCTGGGCTTTGTCGCAGGCACTGGAAACCTGTGGCGACTGGGAAGTGGCTCAAGGGCAGTGGCGACTGCCCGCGACTGCCGTGGTTTGAGCAGAGGAGCCAAGTGGCGAAACGATGAATACATAGATTGGTGGCCCTGTTCTTGAGGCTCCCTTGACCAACTGTGATCAGGATGCCAAATTCTGTTGTTCGGATTCATATGAACGCCAACACACCCGCCATGGAGGCGTGAATGCGGCACCGGCCATCGGACCTGGCCCAAAGAATCAGAGCATGGTGGTCGTGGCTGTGGGCAACAATCCGAAACTCGGAGACATTATGACCCCTGTCGTGGCTGTGCGTCTTCCCTCGTGCCCAGTACCTCAAGACTCCACATTTGGAGGTATAGTGCCCGCATGCCTTTGCAGCACATGTATATACTTGGCCCGGACCGCGGACACCGACTATTGATCTGCACCCATGTTGGCTTGAGAAGTTCAGCATGCTTTAAATTGCAGCAAATTCTCAGGCCTGGTGGGGAAGCATAATAATGGTTTTCTTGAAGGAAGCACACCAAAGAAGTGGAAACCTGTTCATTCCTGTTGAAAGTCAAAAACATGGAGAAAGCAGAAACCACACATGACAGTTTGTGGTCTTTCTTCCTGTTCACGGGAACCTTGCTTTTCAATCGACTTTCTATTTGAATGTCGACCTTCCGTACGTGAATGTCAGACGGACGCTTCTTCCATCAGATCAACGGACGTTGATCAGAGACGCACACACCGGATGCACCGGATGTGCACAACACCGGACTCAGGGAGTGTTTGCCTGAGCCCATCATTGCCACTCCCAAGCACGCACAGATCCTGGTCTGGAGCTCAGCGTTTGTTGGCATCCCAGGAATCCAGCTCAATTTTCACGATGGTAGACAAAGTAGAGTCATAGGGTGCATATCTTCAGATCCTAGGCAGATCGGTGAAGATGGTACATCAATGTCAAAAGGGAAATAATAAAAATCCCAGGAAAAACACTCGGACATTAACGAACACAGATCAAGCATCACAAAAATCACAAAGAACTAAACAACATTCCAGGAGACTAGAATAAGAAGACTAAGCGGGCTCCCACCCAACCCCCCCACCGTTTCGAGTCTCCTCTCTGCTGTTTCTCCCGCCCGTGTTGAGTCGGTCGACGGAGGCCCTGGATGGCCAGGATGGCTCGACGCTTTGGAGCTTCACCGCACCGGTGGCGCGGCCGCAGGCGGTGGAGGGCGGACGACGAGGGCGGTGGAGGGCGGTGGAGGGCGGTGGGAGGGATGAGATGAGTGGCCCACGGAGGGAGAGAGGGACATTGTCCGGTGAGAGACTTCCGGTTTTTCTTCTCGCATGGCTAGCAGCTACAGTAGCAGGCTGCCTTTTTTGTCATGGAGTCAAATCAAAGCTTGCGGTTGATGTGGGATCATGCCAATCAAGAGTCCAGGCAAGGTGTTGTGATTTTCTCAGTTACCCACAACCAGACAACCCGGCCACCCATGCTTTGGAAAGATGTAATCCGCACTTTGCACTAGTAATCTGCACGATGCTTTTAGCCTTTTGTTAGCAGTGGAAGCAGCAGCAGTTGAGGCAGTAGGAGGTAGCAGATGGTCTTGCAGTAGGAGGCAGTAGGAGGTAGCAGTCGAGGCAGTAGGATTCAGATGGTCTACACTATTTGTCTTTGTCAAAGTCGGTTTGGTGTCACCTGACATTGTGAGGTTTTTGGGTGCTCGCTCACTTTCATTCTCCGTTCGTTTTTGACTGGTCAATGGAGTCATTTTCTGATGTCTGATTCAGGGAGTGTGCCCAAAGCAATCGAAGGCAAACTGGAGGCCTGTTTGCCAGGTGTTGGTCCAAGTGCTGAGCTTTGGCCAGTCCAAGCTTTCGTCGGCCAGAGTCTTTTCTAACTCGTGCTGGCTGCATGCAAAACCCGCCTGGCCCCCCGCTCGCTCGCGAAAAAGACTCGCTGGACGGGGGACGTGCGACGTGGAACTGTAAGGAATACTCCTTGTCCTGCGCTGGCCTCTTGACTGCAACCCTTAGTAGGTTTTGGCTTGAAAAAACACTTTTTGGCTTACTTTATTGTGGTCAGGTGCATTCTCCAAAGGGTTTGTGCTTCCTCGGATGTACACTTGATACATCGTCCAATCATGGTTTCTGCCTTGCATGAACTGTTTTGAACATGAACAAATGTGTTGTTTGGCATGAAGTAAGATGGCATGTTGTTGGGAGATGTTGGGAGACAAGTTCAATATTGGTCGTTCATCTGAATTTTCTTCATTTTCCGTCCCCAGGTGCCACAACCGAGTTTTGGGTATCTTAGGCAACACGCCCACGGAGATTTGCTGCCCAAGCATGTGGAGCCAGCCGACTATTGCCAGCGATGCTGTGGCAGCAAGTATTGGACATATCACATTCAAATTCACTTGGTTTGGAGATGCTTTTTGGACACCCATAAGTGCACATCCAAGTGGACATATACTCAAACATGTGTTACAATCAAACTTTCAGATTTGATATGTTTGGCTTCTGCCGGTTCGGTTTGCGAGTCTGTTCAGAACTTGGATCACGCAGTGTATATAGAGATCAATTTAGTCGTCTATATATATATAGTCATGTTTGCATGCAGAAATCAAAGGCAGGTGATGAATTGATTCTTTGCAGATACTTGTTTGGGATTCCGGAAAACCCTTCACACCCGTCAGGATGGTCGAGTTTATGTGGCTTTGCCGCAAGAATCGAAGCTGTTTTGTTCTGCTCATCCAACATGAGGCAAGTTGTAAATGGAAGAGGATGTCGCGGCCAGGTTTTCTAATTTTAAAGAGGAATGGGCAACAATCGTAGCCACCTTCACGTTGGTCGCATGTGGTACCAGACAAGGTGTCGAACGTGTTCTGGTTGAAGGTGTTCTGGTCGGTGGCCGTCTGTGTTCAGAGTCTACTGGCCCTGCTCCAGTGCTCATGTTCTCGCCACGTGAGGTGAATTGGTCCGGTGGAAAGCTCTTCTCGCCGCTTTTCGAGCAATCATTTGGATCATGAGGACATATGAACACCTACCAATATCTGAGAGCAATCCTTTTGATCATGAAGACCTACCAATATCTAAATTGAACGTCGGGTCAAAAGTACTTCTTCATAATCTTCATACTTTTTTCGGTTCTTCTTTCGGATGGAGCGGCCCGTTCTCGAGCGGAGCAAAAGAGATCGTTTCACCGGCACCAGATCCATCGCGGCTTCATCCGAAGACGACTCCGAAGAGTCCGAAGGGAACCCATGGGCCTCTTCCGAAGAGCCTCTTCCCCTGAAGATGAGCTGTGAGCCGTTTTCCAACATGTTTTGAGCCTCTGATTTTGATTTTGGAACCACATGTTCCATGATTTTCACAAATAGTGAACAGTTTGTGAGCTATTGGTTGGTGATGTGTCTACAGCCAGGCGCCCAGACGAAACCTTTTGCCTCAGGTCCCAGTTTGCAACTCCGAGGCGTGGAACCAACGAGTTGAACCGCTCCGAAACACCCGCCGAACCGTCCAGATGTTTTGGATCTGGGCTGCGGATCTGTCGCACCGACCCTCGTGTGGACGGCCCGCCACTCATCGCCCATCCCGGGTATTCAGCCGTGTTGACGCTGCGGATGACCCAAATGAGGCTCATGGATGTGGACCTCGACGGGAAGATTGACCTGAACGATCCCAGGGAGTTCTCCTTTTACCACCACGGCAAGGCGCCCGAACGTCGGACTCGACTCGGTTCCGAGCGGCCGAGGAACTGCTGAGCCGTCCTTCGCCTTCTTTGACGGGGTATTTGTATGCTTAGATGCAGATGGGCGTGTAATAGACTAGGGAGACCTGCCAACGAGTTCTTGGCAGGTTTTTTCAGGGGTTACTTGGGAGGTCCTATTTCAATACACACCCATATAATCCCATCATAATCCCTGATATATTCCTTTTGGAAAGCAAGAGCCAACATCTAGTCTGTTTGGGGTACTACATCCGAGTACCAGTGTCAAGAACCAGTGTGCCAGACAGATGGTTGCATGTTTGATTTACCCCAATGCTACGATTGGCATACCAAGAATGGATAAGAACGGTGCTGCGGGTTTTCTCCAACCTTCGGAATCTGGAATCGACCACTGCCCGGCACGTATCATCGACCACTCGCATCAGGGATCCAATAGTCAGACAGCGCTGGCTCCTGGCCTGATGGTTCCAAGCTCAGAATGAGGACACCACAGACCAATAAACCAGGACGTGGGATGGATGGTGGTCGGACGCAACGTCCTGAATGGACGTTCGACCTCCCAGGTGGCCGCTGTTTGCAATCAGGTCTTTGCGTATCAGGAGGAATGAGTGCTGGAGATTGGCGATTGACGCGGGCCCCAGAGGGCCCTCTGGGCATAGTTGGATGAGCGTCTTCAGCCGTAGCCCTTGCTAGCAGAGGTCCACTATCCACTTCATAGTGAAGTGACATCCAGCAAATAAGTACTTTTGATGATTCACATACGGCTGCCGGCTCTTGACCAACCAATCGAGCTGGAGGATTGCTGCAAAGCAACGTCAATGTCAAAAAGGTGCCATGCCGCAGACACGCTTGTCGGGTAGGAGTCCGCAGGTCTCTTTGGAGGATGAGATTGCGAGATCGGGGGAGCATGCTTGCGTGACACCAGCCGCACGTGGAGAGTAAATAGTCTCTGTTGTTTCTGCCTCCCTGCAGGGGGTATGGTTCAGAAACGCAACTTGGTGGATAACCCACACCTTGGAGCCAACATCTGAGAGGCCAAGCTCATGTCGCGCATGCAGACGTGAACTGCTCCCGGAGCAACTGTCCGGAGCTCATCCGGTGATGAACCTCTCCGTGGTCACAGTGGGTGTTTTGGGCCCCGAAAAATGGCTGCCCGATGGAGTGAGTCGAAGACATGCCATGGATGGAGTGAGCTTTTTGATCTTTTTGGGAACATCAGCTACTGATACACTATGGATCGTCATTGATTGCTGCTCAGCGGCTCGCAGACCCTCCTGTAGCATCTGCAGCTGTTGGAGGCAGTTTTCTTTTTCAATGTTTGTTCAACCCAGCGTTTGTTTGGGCTGACTGAGTATAGATCCTCCAAACGTTAGACCCTGTTTGAAGGATAGTAAGCCAGTATAGACCCTGCTTGGAGACCCTGTGGAATAGACCCTTATACTGTCTGTATAGATCCTGCAAATTGGTCTCCAAGTTTGAAGGGTCCAAGTTCCACAGGTCCGACTTCAGTGACTCGCGGCCACGCACCCCATGGGGCGGTTCGGTGGACCGTCTGTGTCTTACGTGACGACTCCACCGGTCGAGACGAAGGGTTGACCGGTCGATGGGTTTGGAGTCGTCCGACCGGACGTGAGGAGCCCCCCGTCTCGGTCGATGTATAGCTCAGGCACAAGGTGATTTGCACCACGACAGGTAGCGCGCAATCGTAGCTTTGGTGCACGCAGGTGTCTGAATTCGAATAAGAAGAGGGTCGGGTGAAGCTGGGGTGAAGACCTGTGGGGTACTTTCCTTCACATGAGGTTGGTTGGTACGCTGTGGAGAAAGACCTCAACCTTATCCTCGCTTTCCGGCACTCTTAGACTCGCCTGGCAGCTGATGAAGGACGTCCTTTTCTTCCTGATTACCGGGGGCTGCTTTGAGTTTTCAGCAAGGTGACCAGTTCCTTCACCTGTGGCCTTTTCTGCCGTTCACCATCATAATTCAATACCATTCCTATTCATATCATTTGGGGTGTGGTCCATTTGTAGTAAATATATATACATTACATATACAATTTATATACTGTATTTTTGTGACCTTTCTCATACCCTCCTTGTGAAAACCTCACTGCCGAGACTCCCATCCGTCCTCGCGTCCCATGCTGGAAGCACCGAGAGTCCAGGCGCCCACGCGGACTTCCTGTGCGGAGAATTTCGGGAACCCTGCAAGGTGCGGACGTGACCCTGGGCGGTTATCGGCGGTTCTGTGACCGGAACTTCGGCTGCTGAGGACCCGAAAACGGCCAGTGTCCGGTTCGAACAGACATGACCTGCTGACCTGCTAAGTCTGAAACCGATGTTCTCAAGTCCTTCGGCATGTGGGCGTTTTTTGCCGCTTGTTTTGTAAGGGATTCCCATCGCCTGGACCTTGGGACATCCAGACTTGCTGAGATTCCCATCGCAGGGTCGCTGTCAAAATGTTTCATCCCAAGATCCAAGGGTGTGACTCTCATCTGGGGATTCTGGTCACCCGTCCAAGATTTTGTTGGTGGAAACAATCTGACATTGCGGGGGAGAATTATAGAGAGTTGGTGTTTTACTGGTTCCAGATGTAGTGATTCCTTGATCCCAAGATATCCCAAGATATCCCAAGATCCCAAATCCTGCTAGGGAGCCTTGCCCCTCTCTAACGTCACCTTCGGAACACCATAAAGGCAGTAGACTTGGGGATGAGTGCTGTTGTGGGTGCCAGAGGGCAGCCAGTGAGCAAGGCCACGGTCGGCGCATATTACTATATTTTATACGAAATTTAAACATATTTCATCATGTCATAGTAGATACATACATATATTTATTGTAAATACTATTTTGTATAACATCTTACACAATGATGTTACATTACATTACATCATGTTACATATATGTATATCGTTTATATAGTACTATATACATATCCCATACTATGTTTCATTCCTCCTCCTGGGTCACTCATGGATCAACCGCCCATCCGACCCAGGCCCTTGGACCGCCCTCTTTTGGGATCCAGTTGGGGTGTCGCAGAGGGGCGGGCGTTGGCTGACGGAGCTCGCCCTGAAGTGCTTGACATGGAGTGTTCTGTTGGTCTTCCATGTGGAATTTGGACTCAAGCCTTCTAGGGTTGACTGTTGATACTGTTAATATATATATATATCCCTCCCTGTACGGAGATGTTTGACAAATCTCTAGGGCAGTGTTTTTGATCGGCAAGCAAGGTCAGCCTTGATGCGATGTCAAACATCTGGAGTTTAAATATCTTGAACCTTTGCTTGAAACTGATCGTTTTGGAGTTGGTAGAAACAAGTGAAAGGCAGGCTGCTGTAGGAATTGTAGGGGGTTGATATCAATGGGTTCAGAAGGAAATCGAGTCCGTGGATTGTTCAAAGTAGATAGAGGTTCTTGAAACACAATCAGATGATGTGATTCCAATGATTCCTTGCTTCGTAGGTGTTGCAGGGAGTTTGCTACCAGTGATAAGAATGAAGGATTCTTTCACGTTACAGCCACGCCAGTGCTAAGCAAGCACTCGTAGGATGCAACAACAAGGGCCAGCAAGAACAAATTTTAGTAAGATAGGATGCTCTTCCCATCAAAGAGAGCATGAATACTGCCTGCAAACGCACATGATTCCTTCAACCTTGTGACCTGCTTTGGACTCAGACCCCTTTGGGCTATCGACGTCTCCAAAGGTTGTGGCCCTTTGGTTAGTCCAAGATTCTCACAATGTTTGCCACAGTCAGCGCCTGATACTTCATGTTTTCAATGGGAACTGTTTTGGGACAATTTTGACATTCTATCCTGGCGCTCTCTTCTCTCTCTCTCTCTCTCCCTACCCAGTACCAAGCCCACCTATGGGCTTCTGATAGAAAGCCCTCAACGCCCGCCTTTCTCGAGGCTTTGGCAAACTGCAGTGTCCTTTTTTTGCGCCGAACCGCAGCTACAGGCCAGCCAGTTGGTTTGAACGTCATGACTTTTGGGCAGAGTCATGTCCATTCATGTCCCAACGGAAGTGAACAATTGACCTTTGGAAGGCATGTTCCTTTGGAACGGATGTTCCACTTGCCTGCTTGTTGACCTCTCCCAGTTGGAGACCGAGCCCTGTCCAGCTGTCCAGGCGCATTGAGCAAAGCCACTTCGACCAGGCGGCCTGCGAAGCAGGCAACGCCTGGATCGAGCCGGGTGCCTCAGACGTCGCTTCGGGGCGGATCGGGGCGGCTTCGTTCCGGTCGCGAGACCGAAAGCGGAAAGGAAATGATCAGATGAGCGGAAAGGGAACAAGGACAGGAGGGTTTTGTGATAGGCAAGTGGTTGCATGATGCAGTTTTGTTAATGTTTGGTGGAATTGCAGGTAATCGTGCAAGTGTAACCTCAAGGCCATTAACTATTAACTAGTAGGCTAATTATTGGAGACGAGGCTGTTGTGCTGTGCTATGCAGCCTGGTCCTTTTGGGATGAACGCTTTCGCACCGCATTCTGTGTTCAACAAGGACTCGGTCAGTCAGAGGAGTCGAAGGAGGTTCCCTCCCACGCAGAAAAAGCCGCAGCCAGGGTGATCTACGAGGGCTCTTGGCAAGAGCATGGAGGATCCCCTCACGCGCTGAACTAAGAGTTTAATTTAATTTGTCCAAAGAAAGGCCAGTGACAACAGTTTATATAGTCGCTGTGTGGCAGAAATGGGTTTGGTTGAAAAGAAGACACATCCAGACTGACCATCCACAGAGCATTGACCATGTGGGATGTGGACTCTATAGTGCCTGGATGTGGGACTCAGATATCACAAATGCTGAGGTGCTTTCCACTTCATTAGCTTCCAGGAGAGTCACGAGCACCATCGTTAGGCCGGAGAGTCTCAGGAGTTGACGAGGAATGCGCGGTTTTGCATGTGGAAGCTATCTTTTATAGTGGGTTGAGAGTAGATGGCGCAATCCCCAAAAGGTGTTTTATATGGACCCCTATATAAAA